TCACAGCCTTGGAAACCCACAGGGGCAGGTCTACCCTGTCCTACAGGGTAGCTATGAGTCAGAAGGGGTCGCCAGCGATAGGCCTGATTTAGTTCTGGGTTTACACTGTGAGGAAGTAAATTTCAGGGCGCCCTACCTGTGGCAGCACTGTTACTAAGGTAGGTAGCCCAGCATATAGTAAGTGCTCAATAAATACGTGCTGAGTGAATCCATGGACTCTGGTCCCTCTTACTGCTGTCTGTGGAGCCCTGGAGATGTACCGGGTTACAGACTGGTTGCTAACCTCAAGGCCAGCTGTTTGAAACCACCAGGTGCCTCCAAGAAGAAAGATGAGGATTTCTGCTTCCAGAAAGAGTTACAGTCTTGGAAACCCACAGGGGCAGTTCTACCCTGTCCTATAGGGCCGCTGTGAGTCGGAATTGACTGGATGGCACGCCCACGTCCCTCCCGCCTGGGCACCTTGGCCTTGGCGTTGAAGACCGCTTTGTTGAAGAGCTGGATGGGGAGATGTGAGCTCCTGATGCGGGGGCTGTTCTGGTTCGGGAGACTGAAGGCTCCCACGATGGTCTCACACCAAGGTGCTCGCTCCCAAATGGGTACTGTGCGGATCCAAGAGGGATCCCCGTCCTTGAGGATCAAGCTGACAATCTCTATCATCCAGTTGGTGCCTGTTGGGAGAGAGAGGATAGAATGATTGGAGGGCAGAGGAGACACCAGGGGCCACACAACAGCTGGGGTGATTGAGACCTTGTGGGGGGAGGCGGGGATGGTTGGGGATTCTGTCAACTGGGCACACCTGGGTAAGGGTAAGGGCGGAGATCAACCTATCAATTGTACTGAGCCCGGTGACACCTCCTTGCAGCGCTAAGCCTTTTCAGGTGAGAGAGAGACGGAGTGGAATGGAATCTTCTCTGGTCCATAGCTTTCTGGGGCCTCCATCTCCTGTTGCATCGTCTGCAGATCTCAGGAGCCACTGTGGGACCACCAGCGGTGGATTCCTGTGGCCAATCTCGGACCTCTGCATCCACCAGCCGTTTCCCCTCACTCTCGCTGTTCCGTCACCCTGGTTCGGTTCCTCGGTTTCCCGTTGCGTGGCCTGCGGATCCCAGGAGCCGTCGGCTGACTCTCTGGATTGATCTATTTCTTTCCCTTTCTTTTTAAATTATCTGGATAATCTATATCCCATGTGAGTTCTCGTGAAGATGCAGCAGCAGGACTTGAGCATCATCACTGGGAAGGGGCCCCTGCTTTTTGTTTTCTTTGTTTGACCTTGTGTTCACTCATGGTCCTTGATCATAGTTTGGATGCTTTTTCGTGGTAGTTAAACTCCTTATTCACCCCATTTCTATAGGTACTTGTTACATTCATTAATTTGGGGGAGAGTGGATTATCTTGATCATCGAGTTTTTAAAAAAATCGTTTTATTTGGGGCTTGGGCAACTCCTATCACAATCCATCCGTCGCGTCAAGTACATTTGTACGTTCATTACCATCATTATTTTCAAAGCATTTTCTTTCTACTTGAGCCCTTGGTATCAGCTCCTCATTTCCCCCCTTCCTCCCTCCCTCAGGAACCCTTGATAATTTATAAATGATTCTTCTTTTTCCACGTCTTGCACTGTCTGATGTCGCCCTTTACCCCCTTATCTGTTGTTCATCCCCCTGGGAGTTATAGGGAGGTCATTGTGATATCAAGTCTGTTTTATAATTGAAGTAAAACATACATAACAACAACAACAAAAATGCAACAACAAAGACACAGTCCTTCTCATGGAGCCAGCAGCCCTGGAACAAACTCACTGCCCTTGAACGAACTCGCTGCCCTTGAACGAACTCGCTGCCCTTGAATGAACTCGCTGCCCTTGAATGAACTCGCTGCCCTTGAATGAACTCACTCCCAAGGAGTCAATTCTGACTCACACAGCAACTGGACAGGACAAAGTACCACTGCCCCTAGGGGTTTCCAGTATTATTTTAAATATATATATATTAATTTTATAAATATCTCTTACATTATATTATTTATAATATATTTTATTACAAATACATGTATTATATTTATTAAAATTAGATTGTAAAAATGTGTATTTATTTGGGTTTACCTATTTCCCCAGCTGGGTCAGCCATTCCTTGCTATAAGTATCTTATTCTCTGCAACACATACAAGCGCCACTGTTTGTGTCTCCCTAGAGAGCCCATCCTAATACAGGTGGCACGCTCCGTTAGGCGCTCGACGCTGAGCCAAGAGGTTGGCAGTTCAAGGCGGCCCAGAGGTGCCTCGGGAGCAAGGCCTTCCATCCCTCTGCCTCTGAAAGGGCCTGGGCCTAAGGCCCGATGCAGCTAGTTCCACGCCGACCCACCAGGGGTCGCCACGCGTCGGAGCGCCCACGACCACGCGCGGCAGCGGCCACGGACGGTTTTCCGAGCCATTGGGTCTTCATTTCAACTCACGGATTCCAAGAATCCAGAGGAGGGGGTCGGGATGAGGACGCCTCGTTTTCAGAGGCAGGAAGCCGGGGCTCAAAGAAAGCCACTGCGCCCCTGACTCCCGGCGGCCCCGAACTGGACGTGGAGACACGGCTTCCTTCCCTCTGCCAGTAGAGGGC